AGTTTCCAAGGAGCTGCTGATGAGTTTGAACCACTGGCCTGTGGTTCAAACCAACCTTGCCAACCAGTACTTTATCTTACAGTGCCACCCCAGGATGCCATATGGAAGGTGAGAATTCTACCACTGAAGCAACGCTGTACTCACGGAGTTTATGAAGTCTTACGCGTCTTCCCCATGCAATGTATGTTGTTGTTGTTGTTGTTGTTGTTATGTGCCGTGGAGTCGGTTCCGACGCATAGCGACCCTGTACAGGTTTCCGAGGCTGTAAATCTTTACGGGAGCAGAATGCCTCATCTTTCTCCCGCGGAACAGCTGCTAGTTTCGAACTGCTGACCTTAAGGTTCGCAGCCCGATTCGTAACCACTAGCTACCTATAGAATCCAGTAATTCCAAGGCCACTGATTGTATGACCAGGATGGTTTAGGGGAAGAGTTGGTGTGTGTGTGTTGAGATTAAATCTTAATAAGCAGAAATAACCTGAGGGTAGGGAGGGAGAGGTACTGCGTTAGCAGAGGGAGAGGCCAGACTGCTAGGCAGAACTTCTTTGGGAAAACTGCAGTCTGAGCCTAGTTTCTACTCACATGTGGAGTCATTGGTAGCCAACAAGGCAGACTGAGGTCCCCAGTGAACCTGTCAGGTTCCAAGAGAGTCTAAATGTGCTGAAAATTTGTAGTCTGTAACAATTTGGTTAGGTGTAAATGTTCCTGCTCATCTGAAAGGTGGCATAGCCCTCCATCGTAAAGCAAGGAGCAAACCACTAGCGCTGGAAGGAAGGTAATTATTTCTGACTGAGTCTCCTTCCACATAGCCACCCAGACTCCAAGCCTGGCAAAACTAATAACTCTTGTTAATAATTTAGAAAGTTGTAAGAAACAACATAAAAAGTAATAGTAGAGTTGCAGAAGACCCTTTGTTCACGCCACTATTTTCCCGCATTCATCTCTCTCTCTCATAAATATATTTGTGTTTCGGGGGCAGGAGAGAAGGGTAGCACAGAACTCCATTTAGCCCTGATTGCTAGAGGCTGTCTTGGGATGTGGAAAGTCCCCTGAACCTATAGCATTCCTTTATTATCATTTTTAAATACGCTTCCCCAATTTCGTAATTAGCCGTGCTTTTGTTATTGTTTTCTTCCAAATGAAAAGAAACACTCCAAACCCCCTACTCCCAGCCCCAACACCAACCACAGCACAGGGTTTCTCTTGCAGAAAAGCTAATGGTCTTTCAGCTGTAGTAGTAAGCAATGCTGCAAAGTATGAAGAGAAATGTTTCTACTTAGGGGAACATGCATCGCCATTTACAGGCTGATGAGGACAGTCTCAGAATTAACGCCTCTACAACAGACTTTTCCTCTGGCCTCTGGGAAACCACAGCAATGACATGGGCATCCAGGATCTCTGAGCACTTGGGGCTGGAATGGCGAAAGCTAAGCATCCTGTTGTCGTAAGGAGACTTCCAGCTCCCCAGAATAAGAAGGGCAGCATGGGAACTCAGTGAGTTTGGCACTAGTAAGACGATGTTGTTGCAGCCGATTGCCATTGAGTCAGCGCTGACTCTTGACAAGCTTATGCACATCAGAATGCAGTGTTGGCCCGTTCTTCATCATCCTCTTTCCTTAGTATACTGGAGTGCATTGCTGTGGCCACTGTGTGTTTTGAGAGCCTTCCAACCTAGTAGGTAATCGTCTAGTACTATTTCAGACAACATTCTTTGTGCTCTATAGGATTTCATTGACTAATTTTCCAAAGCAGATCACCAGGCCTTTCTCCCTAGTCTCTCCATCTGGAAGCTCCACTGAAACTTGTCCACCTTGACTGACCCTGTTGGTATTTGAAATGCTAGTGACATAGCTTCCTGCATCACAGCTACATGTAACCCACCAGAGTACAAGAAGCTAAAGTGGTGAAGTGATACTCATAAAATCAAAAACACGGACATCAGTGTTTTTGATTGACATCCAGTCAATCCTGACTCACAGAGACCCTATGCCCCAAATCTGTGCTAAGCAATTGATGTACATTTTCTAATTCCTACAGCAATGCTCAGAGCTAGGAATTGTTTCCCTCATTGTAAAATGAGGAAGCTATGACTCAGAGAAATTAACCAAGCTACCTCCCAGCGGAGCTCCTTAGAACAGTAGCTGGGAAATGAACTTAAACTGGGAAACTTCAATCTTCCTTTACCGCCTTATAGGACTGGCCTGCACACCACAGTCGTTATTTAGCACACTGGGGAACCATTTCCTCAAGGTTAATGCAATGATTTGAAGAATCCTTCAGGCTTGGTGTAGCACTGGACTGCCTGCCACAAGGTCGGCAGTTCAAACCCTCCAGCTACTCCGCAGAAGAAAGAGGAGGTTCTCTACTCCCATAAAGATTTACAGCCTCGGAAACGTTATACAGGGTCTCTCTGAAAAGGAACTGATTCAATGGCAGTGAGGTTTTTTTCAGACCAAGTGAAGGAGCCCTGGTGGCCTTGTGGGTTAAGCGTATGGACAGCTAAACCCAAGGTCAGCAGTCCAAACCCACCATTCGCTCTGTGAGAAGAAGAGGAGGCTATCTGCTCCTGCAAAGATTGACCGTCTCAGAAACCCTAGGGAACAGTTCTGCTTTGCCCTATATGGTCACTATGAGTGCAATCAACTCTGGCAGTGGGTTTGGGTTTGGTTTTCAGGCCAAGTGGGATAAAATTTTGCTGATAAACTTACATACATGTGTTCATCCTCTTCCAACTTCTCATGAAGCTTTCTAGCCAAGAGATGACCCTGGTCATCCAAGAGGCCTGCCAGGGCACCACTCAAGTGGTGACAATTGTTGATTTGGGGCAGGGGGTAAAAAGATACACAGCCAAAGATACACCATTTCAACAATTTCTACATGTATATTTCAGTGACATTGGCTACATTTTTCAAGTTGTGCAGCTATTCTCGCTGTCCTTTTCCGCATTATCCCACCACCATAATCTGAAACTCACTGGTCCCTGTGCTTCCTACCCATCCAACCTTTTCAGTTGCTGTTGTCAATTTGATGGCTGACTTGTTTTTTTTCTATCCCTCCTCCTCCTGCCTCTCCTTCCCTCCACTCCCGGATACCGTGTGCATCCAGATGCTCATGGAATCCTGCAGAGCTAGCCCTTGTTTGTGGGATGGAAATGTAGAGGGTGGGTTGTTCACTATCTCAGTGGGCTTGGGAGGGGCCCGCTCTGCCAGGAGATAGTGAGAGCAGCAGAGAGCTCATGTCCTGACCCAGACAGTGTTCCTCTGAGGGAGCCTGGGTAACAGATCCAGCTGCCTGTTTGTTGAGGTCAGACAGGGTCTATTTGTACTGCAGAGGGGCTGGCTCCTACAGGCTGTGTTTGCCTGGCTCCCCTGTCAGCCAGCAACACTCCCCTCACCCTTGTCTGGATGGGAAGAAAGCAAGGTATTTCCCTCACCCTCACAAGTGGCATCTGAGCTCCCTCTACAATTCCCACAGTTCCAACTTCCACCAGGGACCTCAGCAACTAGGGGTGTCCTGCCAGCCTAGGGGTGGCCATGACTCCCTGCAGGTGCTCATCTCCAGGTACCTCCTTGTTCTTGCTGGTGTCACCATTTTCTACCACATGTGCAGCTATGGCCTCATTCTCTAAGTACACAGGTCCTGTCTGGTTGTCCCTGGATCTGATCTACTTATGATTTGTCAGGCCATGGGCTAAGCCCCTACCAGCACTCAAGTCTCAGAACCAGCCTGGAGACCTTGCTTTAGTAATGAGGGCAGTAACGCAGAACAGACAGGTGACTCTGCTCAGGCCGAGAGCGTGGCTGAAATTCTACCCTAGGTCTCTGAGCTCTCACCCACTCCTCCCACTGCTTCTGGAGAGCATGAACCCTGTGTTTCTGCTTTCTTGTCTCTAAAAGAACTAGCCCTGTCTCAACTGCAGGGCTGAATGGAGGAGTAAAGATGTGTCTGTAAGGTTCTGTTGCCTCCCAGCTTCCGGCTCAAGGCCATGCCAAGGCCTGCAGTGGTAGGGGTGTTTATCCACCCCAAGGAAGGGGCTCAAATGTTAACTCTGTGTGTATGTGTGTGTGTTTGCGTGTGCGCACATGCTTTCCACAGGTGTGGTCTTAAAGCTGGCCTTGGTAGCATCTGTGGTTTGGATAGTTTTTGAAGATTGTTCATGTACCAGGGATGTTTATTTCTGAGTCCTTCTTCAGGAATGAGGGTTCTTTGTGGCATGAAATGAACAATACCTCATTCCACTGAAGCCATCTTTTTGGTCACAGAGATGAAATCATTCTTCCTTGCAACCCAGAGTGGGGTCTCCAGAAAGGAAACTAAAAGCAGTTTTTCTTCTCCTAAAATCTTAGGTAATATTTGTGTCAGAAAAAAAAAAAAAAACCCAGACCATCATCTAAGTTGAGTAAGTTTTCATTTTTACAGAGGAGAAAAGTGAGGTCCAAAATGCTTAGTGATTTGCCTAAGGCCACCTAGTAGGTGGGTGACAGAACCAAGCAGAGGGCTACTTGGACTCTTACCTCACACCCACTGACCAAACCCCAGCTGGATATTTGGGGATCAGGTTACAGGTACTGCCTAGTGATATGAACAGTCCCGAGTGACTACCATAGTCACAGAGGAGACTTGGCATAGCTGTTCCTTTTGTCCATAAATATCTTCGTTTTATTTATGAGGTGGTCTGACACATAATAGCATGTATTATTAAGAGAGTAGCTTAATACTATCTATTAAATATATAGGCATGTTCTTTGCATTGTGAAGCACATCTCTCTTTTATGATGGACTTTACAGTGCCTATGATGGGAATATTGCTCCAGTCTTCCCTGTGACCTCATAGGAAAATACCAAAGAAGAGGCTGGCTCCAGTAGAATGCAGCAGTCTGGGGACCAATATGCTTAGCCCTCTTTAAGCAGTGCTGTTCTCCTAGGCCACCCTACATCGTGAGGGCTTCAGACAGGCTCAGCATGTGGTTCTGAAACTCTTATTCTCCCCCACTGCCCAAGTTTGTCCACTACCTCCCATGGTGAGTCACGGAGATTTCATCTGCCACCCTCGGCCTTGTGAGCGGTACAACCATGGGACCGTGGTGGAGTTCTACTGCGACCCTGGCTTCAGCCTCACCAGTGACTACAAGTACATCACCTGTCAGTACGGAGAGTGGTTTCCTTCCTACCAAGTCTCCTGCATCAAATCAGGTGAGCAGATTCAAAGGTTTCATGTCTTGGACTAGATGTATGCACCATCCAAGTTCAGAGTGCCAGCCAGCCTCCTTCCCTCCCTCCCCAACCCCAGTATTGGGAGTAGAACACAGAAGGATCCTTTTGCGTATGTGTGGCTGATGCTGAACGCCACACCAGACAATTCTTGACCCTGTTCAGCATCTTAGAGTACTAACCTGTCCATTCCCAGTTATAATCCTGACCCTCTGAGGAGAATCTCTAGACTTCTAATGACCATGGACTATCCTCTGAACTCAGTCCACTCTATTTTCTCCCAATGTCTTCCCCTTTCACTTACAAAAAACATTCCTGTCTCAGGCAGGACACAGGTCCTGGGATGTGACCAGAATTTGCACATTACCAGGGATATGCCTAATCCCAGCTTTCTCTTCTACACCAGGAAGCACGCCAGAATACAAGTGGCATTGCTCAGGGTAATTCCTGCTCACTTATCAAAATACAGGCATTTGCAGGTTTCAGTGAATGATAGATAGTAACACATTACTTGTACACTAGCCTTGCAACTAGCCTCATCATAGTGATTACCAATCATACCTCACCATCTGCTGCCCTTCCCAGTCCTGCCCACACTCTCTAGCATTTTCCAGGCCATGGTGTGGCCACCTGCTCCGAGCTAGAGGAATGGTTGTGTACTTTTCTTCCTGGACATAGCATGTGAGGGAAAGTATGTATTAACTCAGGGTGTCTGCAGATGCAGAAATGGTCCTGAGGGAAGAGATTCTGGGGCTGGGCTATCTACATCTAAGAGGGAGGCTGTGAGCAAGATTCGAGGAGAGGGAGGAGGCAGCCGTGTGGAGGGAGACATTCAAGAGGCAGAATGTCTTGTGCCCAAAGGGTCCACTCTTGTTTCCCTTTACCTGACAGAGGTGGGGGCAGAGGGTGAGAGAAGAGTACAGAGCAGACACATCTGCCTCACCCTCTGTCCCTTTTCTCATCTCACTGTGCTTTACCACAACCAATAATACCTACCAGAATATTCCCAGCTTCCCTCTCCCCCAGCTCTTGGTCCATCTCAGGAGAGAAATACCCTGTTCATTCTTTTTCCCAAAGCAGGTACATTTAGCCCCGCTCCAGGTTCACACCTGGTCTGCAATATGAACATGCAGGTGGCCAGGATCCCAGTGTGAAGTCACATGTGCCAACTCGTATCTTTTTAAGCCCTGGGGGCCAGGGGGGTGTGCTGTGGGTGCCGGATAGACCCAGTCAACAAGCACACAGGAAGCCTATGTGCCGGCCTGGTCTGTGAGCCTCACTCGCAGTCTTGTTCTCTTTCGTGGCAGAGCAAATGTGGCCCAGCACCCATGAGACCCTCCTGACCACGTGGAAGATCGTGGCGTTCACAGCGACCAGTGTGCTGCTGGTACTGCTGCTTGTCATCCTGGCCAGGATGTTCCAGACCAAGTTCAAGGCCCACTTCCCCCCCAGGTCAGTGCTGGGGCCTTGGCACCCATATCTGCACACATCTGGCTCCATGCAGCCCCCTGATGTAGTGAAGAGAGAAGACATAAATTTGATTAAAGGGAGAATGGGCCCTCCATGACACAAACAGCTAAGCACTTGGCTGCTAACAAAAAGGTTGGGGTTCTAATCTATCCAGAGGCCCCTCAGAAAAAAGGCCTGGCAACCTACTTCCAAAGATCAGTCTCTGAAAACCCTATGGGGTATGGTTCTACTCTGACACACATGGGGTTGCCATGGGTCAGAGTCGACATGATGGCAACTGATGGTTTTAAAGGGAATGTTGGTGTTATTATTCTTGTTAAGAGCAGTCAATTCAGTACTGACTCATAACAACCCTGTATAGGGTTTCCAAGGAGCAAGATATGGGTTTGAACTGCAGACATTGCAATTAGCAGTCCAATGGTGATCCTGAAGGAGAATAGCAGAGAAAATTAGAACCACTTCCCCTGGGATGATAAGGTGTCTGGAAGCTTAACACCAAACTGGAGACAGCTCTCATTTCCTAATTTTTCCCTCCTCCCCTCCCTCAGTTTCCTGTTCTTGGGCTAGTAGCATTGTGGGGTATGAAGAGGGGAGCACAGAGTCAGGGTTGCAGGCTGTATACTGGGCCCTGCCCACCACCACCATTCCCCTTTACCTCTGCTTGCGCAAGTGCCTGCAGTTATGTTCCAACAAGCTTACCACCCCCCGGGGAGGATAAAACAGTTAGGGAATCTCTCAGAATACAAAGTGTGTGGTGGGAGTTCTTAGGAGGGAGGGAAGACTTTGGGGTGGAGACTCAGGAGGGGGATGGTGAGGGTGCACTTGCAGCCCGAAGCTGAGTGTGGAATGTGCAGAGGTTGTCCCCACCCTCCTGGCGGCACAGACTGTCTTCATAGGTGCCTTCAACAAGCGGGAATTGGCTGTGCCCTCGCGTAGGCAGGCAGGTCTGAGGCTCCCGCTCCAGGGCTGACCGCATCACCCAACACCACTGGGGGCAGACGCTGCTCCTGGAGGTGGAAAGCAGTTAGAAAGCAGTAAAGAGGTTGGGAGACCGGAACCTCACAGAATACTAGCTGGGTGTCGCTGACATGAGCTGTCTTTTACAAAGGAATAATTATTATTGTCTTGGATTCTTGGCCATGGAAGGTACTTCCCATCTCAGGACCTACTGCTTCAGAAGACGGTGGTCTTGCCCACAGGAACTGTCTAGCGCACCCCCCCCCATTCCTTATGCAGCCCCCTGAAAATTGCTTAGTTGAGGAAAGGCCCCAGAATTAATTACTTTCCTCCCTTCCCTCCAGGAAAATTCAAATGTGTCTCCTGCAACTGCAAGGAGGTTGTTTTGTGGCTAAGTGCCTTTCAGTCAGTTCCGGCCATTAACAGCCCTATGAGTTGGAAGGTGCTGGAGCAGGGAAATGGGGCAAGGTACTGAGGACAGTCACTGCCCACCTTCTCAGAGCCGTCTTGTTCCCACTGGGGCCTCCCCTCACTCAGCATTGTTCTCAGCCTGACAGCAGAGCCGGCACATCACAACCCAAACACACCCCCCTCTCCCAGCTGGAGTTGGGACCACTTTCTGTGTCAGTGCCATCTAAGCTTCAACCAAGCTCTTGTTGGGTTCCAGCACCCACCTTTCCCTTAAACCTGTTCTCAGCCTACAGCATCGTGTGGTTGTTGTTAAGTGCCGTCGAGTTGGTTCCAACTCATAGCAACCCTGTATAAGATTTTCAAGGAGTGGCTGGGGAGTTTGAACCACCAACCTTGTGGTTCAAACCAACCTTGCAATCGAGTGCTTTATCCCACAGGCCACACCAGGAATCTTATGTATTAATCAAGAAACCATGGTCTATCACTAAACCACTATAATATCTAAAGATGGCCTATGGTAGTATAGAAATAAGTAACCGTGATATATTGGAGTATTTTCAAGGAGCCCTGGTGGTACAGTGGCCAAGCGCTAGGCTGTTAACTGAAAGGTGAGAGGTTTGAAGCCACCACCTGCTCCATAATGATTACAGCCTTGGAAACCCTATGTTGTGTTATTGTTAAGTGCCGTCCGTCAAGTCAGTTCTGACTCATGGTGACCCTGTGTAGGATTTCCGAGGAACAACTGTTGGGTTTCAGCTGCTGACCTTGTGGTTCCGAGTCCAGTTCTGACCCTACAGTGCCACACCGGGAGTCCATGGAGTAGTTCGAATCTGTCCTGTAGGGTCACTATGAGTCAGAAGGGACTGGACAGTAATGGGTTTGGTTTTTGGTTTTGGAGACTTTCAGTGTCCCTATAGCTGTTGCTCTACATATACGTGGAAGAAAACTTTCCAAAATAGTAACTAAATATTAGAATGTTTTAAAAAATATTCTCAAAACCTTTCACTTGATTTTTATCCCTTGTGTATATATCATCTTACGTTGGTCTCTACTAGTTTTGGAAACGTTGGCCTCATGTATCCAAATAAAGGTCCCTGGTTATTGTACACGGTTTCTGCTTCACTGCTAATCTAAAGGTTGGTAATTTAAACCCATCCAGGTATACTGTAGAAGAAAGACCTGGCCATCTACTTCTGTTAAAATTACAGCCAAGAAAACCCTATGGATCCGTTCTACTAAAACAACATCCACATAAGATGCTAACGGACAAGCCAAGAATGGGTGGCTGCTGGAGCGTGGGAAGCGGGAACTGACGTGACGGGTGGGGTGTAGTGGAGGAGAAGCGGCTGGGTCATAGGAGAGCTGGTGATGGGGAGAAATGGGGACAAGAGCCATCTAGCTGTTCTGGCCTGGGTGCTTGTGTCGTATATGAAGAAAAGAGGCTGGCATAAGATGATGGAGTGACCAGGGGAAGCAGGAACTCAGCTCAGCTCGTCCAGGATCTTTTCTGAATTTGCTTCTGGCAGACTAAGGAAGAAAGAAGAGTCTGACTCAGAATGAGCTCAACTGCAATATTCCCAATGTCCTCTTCCCTCCCTGCCTCCAACCTTCCGTGGTACATGGCCTTAGGGTCTCCTCTCCCTCTCTGGGTAACCTTTAAGAACTGTGGGACAAGGAATCCCCACCATAATCTGTAAGCCTTTGTAAGACATTCCCAAAAGTCAGTGGACTTGAAACTGTCCCTCAAGTGTTAGAAGCAAAGTTGGGTGTTTTACCTCCATGTCAAATGTCAAGATGTACACATTTCCCTTTATTCAAAGTTTGGAGCCACTGCAATTGGTACATAGTGATTCAGAGCCTGCCCACCAACTGGGGATTCTTCTGTTCTTGATATTGTACCTTCTGATCACATCACTTAGCACCAGTTCCCAGCAAAGAAACCAAGTCCATGTGATTACTTAGTATTCCTTTGGTGGTGTTGGCTGGAGCTTGGGCTTTACCATCAAGCACACTTGAGTCAAAGCCAGCAGGTGTTGAAAACCCAAGTGGCAAGGCCAGGGGACTGCTGGTGCTCATGTCGGGGACCACCTACATGAAATAATCGGTCCACTTCTCAGCTACTCTCTGGAATCCTCCTACCATTATATCAACTCCAACTCACGACAACCTATGTGTGTCAGAGCAGAACTGTGCTCCACAGGATTTTCAGTGGCTGATTTTCCAAAAGTATTTCACCTGCTTCTTTATTTTGAGGCACCTCTGACTGGACTCAAACCTCCAACCTTTCCTTTAGCAGTTGAGTGCATGAACCACTTGTACCGCCCAGGGACCAGCACAGGTGAAAATGCTTGTTGAATAGAGAGTTGGAGGTGAGTCCAGATTCTTGAAGGCAGTAGTGTGGAAACCCTCTAGGAAATGGAAGACAAAGCTTTCATTTGTTGTTGCTTCATTATCGTTCTACCACAACTGAAAATTAGGTAACTTTTACACGTCAGCAGAAAATGACGAAGAAGCTAACACAGCCTGTCCTTGTGGACAGTTCCCTATGCTTCCGACAGTGCTGTCAGTCTTCCTGCCGGGCATTGTGGACACATACCGGCATGCATTGCTGGAATGGGCCACGTGGTCAAGCCCAGAGGTCAGAGCAATGAGGAGGGAAGAATGAAGAGACAGCAGAGTTCAGAGGCCACAGGGACGAGCCAAAGTGGAGGGGAGAGGCAAGAGGGGAGGGAAAGAGTACCACCTACCAGAGAGGGCTTGGAAATGAGCCACAGAGGTGGGGAGCACTGGGGACCCAATCCTGGGGCTGTCTGATACATTGGTGCTGCTTTCCTTCATGGCAGAGGGCCTCCCAGGAGCTCCAGCAGTGACCCTGACTTCGTGGTGGTGGACGGCGTGCCTGTCATGCTCCCATCCTATGACGAGGCCGTGAGTGGTGGCTTGAGTGCCTTAGGCCCCGGGTACCTGGCCTCCATGGGCCAGGGCTGCCCCTTACCCGTGGACGACCAGAGCCCCCCAGCGTACCCCGGCTCAGCGGACATGGACACAGGCCCTGAGGGGTCAGAAACCTGTGACAGCGCCTCAGGCTCCTCTGAGCTGCTCCAGAGTCTTTATACCCCTCCCACGTGCCCAGGGGGTACCCGGCCCGCTGCTGCCAACCCTGACACCGTGGGGAGCACAGCCGGAGAGGTGGCATCCACCAGCCCAGGCATTGACATCGCAGATGGTGAGTGTGTGCTCCCAAGCCCAAGCCCAAGCCCTTCCTGCAAACACAGCAGCGCCTACCTCGGACAATGCACAGCGCTCCCCCCTGCCCCACCGCACACAGTCTGATCAGCTGTTTCCCAGGGGCTCAGCTTAAATGTCTGCTTTCTCTCTCCAAGTGTAGAAACCTAGAGACCATTGGCCTAGTGATCAACACCAGGACTTCAAACTAGTTCATTCCAGTTCATGCCCCTGCTGAGAATTCTCCTTTCCACCCCAGATATACTGAATCAGAATCTACATTTTAAGGAGGTAAATTCTCAGCAGGGACTCAAACCAAAGTGAACCAGTTGGAAGCTCTGATCATCAACTCACAGATAATGAGCCCATTAGCTGAAGTTTCAGAAGGCACAAAAGGACACAGAGCTACCCAGAGTAGAAAGACATGCAATTTGTTTATGTAGCATCAGTGTGATCCAGAATGTTTTTCTCCTTTTTACCTTAACCAGGAAGGACTTGTGAAAGTGAAGCTTAGGAACAGAAGAGCACATGTTGTTGTTGTTGTTGTTAAGTGCTGTTGAGTCAGTTCTGATTCATAGCGACCCTATATAGATAGGGTTTCCGAGAAACAGCTGGTGAGTCTGAACCGCTGACCTCGAGGTTCAAAGTGACCTTGCAGTCTAGTGCATTATCCTGCAATGAGTGCCACACTAGGACTGGAAAAGTGTAGATGTGGGCACCAGGTCCCAACCAAGAGCCCTCATCACCCAGTCCCCTGAGAACGTCTAGTGTCCATATCAGCTATTTTTACCAGACGTGAAACAGAAAGGATACGTGCACCTAGCCCAAGGAAAGGCAAATTGTGGCTCAGAGTCAAGTGGGAGAAGAAATGCATGGGAGCAAGCAGAGCTCTGTTACCTGGGGGTGGGGGTGGGGAATGCATGAACCACACTTCCAGTTGGTATCGATAGTCAAAGATGGTAATGATTCAGACACAGAGACTCCCTGGTTCCTCACAGAGCTCCTTTTCTGCAGTGCAGCTTCTTCATTCTTGAATTTTGCATGGTCATTAGGACAGACGGCTAAAACCTAAGTGTGTTGTATGGACTGGGTGGATGACTGTTGTTTTCCAGCAGAAATACGTTGTATGGGGGAGATGATTTATGAACTGATTTTTTTAACATTTTCTTCACACACATCCACCCTAATTTCAGGAAGTGTATATATATTTTAGGTTCTGTTAACACCATGTGTTAAGCACCAGGCTGCTAACTAAATGTACCAGCTTTTCCAAGGGAAAAGGATGAAGCTGTCTGCTCCCGTAAAGACTTACAGTCTTGGAAACCACTGAAGAGCCACTCTGTTCTGTCCCAAAGGGTCACTATGAGTCAGAGATGACACAATGGCAGTGGGTTTAGTTTTGATTTTCAGTGGTGCAAACAGTTTGCACTCAACTACGGACCTAAAAGTTGGTGGTTTGATCCCACCCTACGGCACCATGGAAAAAAGACTTGGAGATCTATTTCCAAAATGATGGCAGCCAAGAAAACTTCATAATTCTGGTCCACTCTGCACACATGGCATCTCCATGAACCAGAATCAACTCTAGGGTTTGGGTTTTTGATTTATAAATAGTTCGTTACTATCATTGTTAAGTGCCGACTCATAGTGACCCTGTATAGGGTTTCTGGGACTCCTGCTGTAGCGCTATAGGGTCAGCACTAGACTGCAAACCACAAGGTTGGCTGTTCAAACCCACTAGCTCCTCCTTGGAAACTCTATACAGTATCTCTATGAGTTGGAACCAATTTGACAACACTTAACAACAACAACATAGGGTTTCTAAGGTTGTAAATCTATTTTTTTAACGAGCAAAAAGCCTTAGCTTTCTCCCACGGAGCAGCTGGTAGGCTCAAACCACCAACCTTGTGGTTTGCAGTCTAGTCTTTATCCTACCAAGCCACCTTGCTTACATAGGTATTTTAGTGGAGTTCCTAATTGTAGATGATTTGCAGTAGTTCTCTATGTACCAAGCTTGTGACCACATTCTTCTCTTACAGAGATCCCTCTAATCGAAGAAGACCTTTAACCAGGCAAAATGCCAAGTCTGCTGCCCGCTGGGGGGCAGGACCCTTGGACCTTGGAGTGAGACGACAGAAGGCTAGAGCTGGGGCACGTTTTCTAAGTTCTCTCCATGGACGGTGATTCACACTGTCCATCTCGGACTCAGCAGTGAGGCTGACAGACCATAGGAACAGTGCCTGCAGAGAGACTCGGGAACATGGCGAGATCTCGGCAGAAGAAAGGGGCCGGGGAAACTCCCTGGATGAAGGCATTAGTGTGTCTCCGTGCTGTACCACGTGGGACAATTCCATTCATATCCCACTGATTATGTTATGAGTACTACCTGCCTCCTTGAAAGCATGTCACATTATGTAAATTTGCTTCTAAAATCTGCTTAAACTGTCTCTGGGCTCCAGATCAGGATGGCTTGGCCTCTGCAGGGAGTCTATGTCCCACTACTGAAAGGGCACCCAGGCCTCCTGCCTTTGCGGGAAGGAACAGATGCCCTAAGGGGAGAGCCCCACGACACTGGATAATCTTCCTGTATCTGAACAACCCTACTCAAAGCAACACTAGAGTGGGGTATGACAGTCCCAGTGGAAAAGGAAAGGAAAGACTCAGGCAGCCTCTACTTTCTGGAACTTTCTTCAAAAAGTAGAGTTAATGTACGCTGTGCTGTCCTTGGTGATGTTTCATCAGTATTTGTATTCATGGTCTGTTACCTGGGTCTATGGCATTGGATAAATCCTGTTATTTTCAAACGATCAGAATGTGTGCAAATACATTATCTCGTGGTGGAGACAGTAGCCAAGGGGATGTCTTGTTTCAGCCTTTTACAAAGGTTCATTGAACAATGTATCCCAGTTCTGAGTCCCTCCGCAGGTAACTATTAACACTGTTGCCCCTCCCTCAACTCCCAAACTTGGCCACACTTTTATTTTCCAAAACAGAAATAATTTTTGCCAAACACATGTTGCTTCCAGGTAACATGGGAGGTTGGATCCCTGCCCCCCTTCATTTTGTCTTGCAAAGCCAGGAAGCTGGCTTCGTAACCCACAGGTTGCTCTCCCCTCCTGCCTTAGGAATCTTTGGTCTATGTTCCTCTTGGGCTGGTCTTATGGTAACCAGAAGAGTCCTTGAGTGGTACAAACAGTTAAGCACTTAAGTTCTCATCAAAAGTTTGGAGGTTCGAATCTACCCAGAGGCACCTCAGAAGAAAGTCCTGGCAATCTACTTCCAAGAAATCAGACATTGAAAATCCTATGGAATACAGTTCTACTCTGACACATATGGGGTCACCATGTTGTTAAGTGCCATCAAGTTGGTTCCCATCTTGAGTTGTTGGTGGGTTTGAACTGCTGACTTAGTGGTTAGTAGTCCAGTGATTATCCTACAGTGCTACACCAGGACAGGAATCAATTTTATGGGCACTGGCTTTTTCTTATTTTGGCTTGTAGTGCCCAATGGAGGTTATTTCTAAGAAAAAGATTGATAAAAACAAAAAAAACACCCAAATCCTGAAGTGTCTCTTCAAATATATGTTGGTCTACAGAGTTGTTGCTTCCTTTCCTCCTATAGATTCTAGCCAAATATAAACAAAACTCCCAATCCATAAAATTGCTATGCTGATAGAGCCGTGGGAGCTGGAAGCTTGATCAAGCCATATTATTTCTTGACAGAGACTGATTAAAACTTAAAAAGAAAGTGGCAGCAAGAGCATGGCTGTGGTAGCGGAGTGGAGTTGGGGGGGTGGGACGGGGGAGTAGTGTCGATGCTTCTGCGTGATGGATGTGACTAAGACTAAGGACCGGGTGCTGCAGTCTCCCATGTGACACGTGCTAAGCAGTGATGCTGGGCATGTAGATGACAGAGTTTAGTGAGTCTAACTTCACTTAGCAATGGCCTCATCCTGCCACCTGCACACCTTTGTAACAAGCCCTGTCAGAAGCCACTGATTTGATTGGACTTTTTTTTTTTTTTTTAAGATACTAATGAGACCAAGCCAATTGTATAACTGAGAGAACTTGTCTACAGCCATCCACTGACCACAGAAACATCAGATTCCAGCTCAGGGCGACTTTATAGAAGTGACCATTGTCGGATCTGATGTCATCCTCACAGCCGCAGGCCTGAGATAGCTACTGGGTCAGTCCATCTCACCGTGACTCTCCCTCATCCTCGCTGGTCCTCTATGTCACCAAACATGATGTCCTCCTCCTGCAGCTGACTCCTAATGACATGGCCAAAACAAGCATTAAGTTACAATCTGTAAGGTTTCCATTGTCTTATTTTTGGGAATAGACTACCAAACCTGTCTTCCTAGTCTGTCTTAGTCTGGAAGCTCTGTTGAAACTTGTTCACCATGGCTGATTCTGCTGGTAATTTGAAATACTGGTCACATAGCTTCCAGCATCCCACCACAATAGGACAGACTGACAGACATGTAGTGGGTGTCTCAGCTATTACCTTATTTTCCCCTGGGCTGTTGAAGAGAGGTGTGTGGGCTGTGTCTGGGGCCCCAGAAACACTGTCCTTCCAGGAAAAGTTCTCCCTTCCAAAGGGAGCCTGCCAACCCAGGAGACATGGGGGATGCCTCTCAACCCGGATAACATGTACAAGGATGAGTCAAATATTCCTATAAAACCGTAGAAACCTTTACAAAATTCAACATGTGAAGTAACTGTTTCTCAGCATATCCTCCACCTAGTCTATACACTTCTGAAAGTGGTATTTCCTTCTCTGTACTCCTTCCTTGAAGAATTCTGTACTCTTGCATTTGTTGTTGTTGTTGTTAAGAGCCATTGAGTTGGTTCCAACTCATAGTGACCCTGTATAGAGTTTCTGAGGAGTGGCTGGTGAGTTTGAACCGATGACCTTGTGGTTCAAACTGACCTTATGGTCCAGTGTTTATTCCCGCAGCATCACACCAGGACTCCGTCTTCCATTCACACCTTGTCAACGTGGCAGTTTGGGCCTCCTCGAGGGTACTCAGGGTGACATTCCTTTCCAATGTTAACTTTTGGAAATAAGAAGTCTGAAGTCTCAAGATCAGGGCTGCAGGGTGGATGGAGTAAGGCTTCTCCATGAAATTCTCCTAGAACATCACTTTCTACCCTCAAAGAAGGAACAGCAGCTGCATTGTCTTGAGGGAAAAAAAATTCCTCTATGCAAATTTCCTGGCCTTCTTCTCACCAAGGCAGTTTTCCATCTCCTTAAAACTCTTTCCTAATAATCCCTTGTGATCATACTGTATCCTTTGAGAAAAATCTATCAAGCTGACCCCTTGGGAATCCTGAAAAACAGTCACCATAAACTTCTGAGCTAACATCTCTGCCTTGAATTTAATTGGTCTAGCAGATTTTCTCAGAATCCACTGTTTTGATTGTATCCTTTTTGTTTTTTAAGTAAATAATGAGACCCAGACAAATGTAATACTAAGAGAACTTGTCTGCAGCCACCCACTGATCACAGAGACATTTAAACACGTTTTGTTTGGAATAATCCTGTACACATGAATGGAACCCTAGTAGCAATACTTTCTGACTTACCCTGGTGCATCAGATAATTAGTGTCAACATTGTTCTAAGAATAAAGGCTGGTAGGAAGAAACCACACAACAGTCAGCGACACCCAGTCCACAACACGTGTGTGTCCGAGTAGAACTGTGCTGCCCAGGATTTTCAACAGCTCAGTTTTTTTACAGTAAATTGCCAGGCCTTTCTTAAGAGGTGTCTCTGAGTAGACTCAAACCTCCAAACTTTAAGTTAGCAGCAAATTGTGTTAACTGTTGTACCACATAGCTATTTGGAAGGAAGAAAATGCCCGCGTCATTGTAATGTTTGATAGTGTCTCACCAAAGCACCCGAGTCTCCCTTCAATCCTTTAGTTTGTAGACACTTCAGAGTCTCATTGTATTGCTTAAGGTATTCTCCTTTTTAATTTTTTTATAAACTCCCTGAGTGGTATAAGCAGTTAGCAACTAAAAGGTTGGAAGTTTGATTTCACCCAGAGGTTCCTCAGAAGAAAGAACTGGCAATCTATTTCTGAAAATTCAGCCATTAAAATCCCTATGGGGCATGAGTCAGTCAACCTGGCAGCATCCCTTACCTTATCTTATGTAGCACTCCTATTCCCAGCACAATTCTGACTCTTCACACTTACAAATCCTCTCAAGCCTTCTGGGTCTGACTAAACGTGATCACTTCTGCATCACCTCAGAATTGAATAGGTACAAGAACAAATGGGACCGCTCTGGGAATTGATACTCTAGAGATGTGGAACGTGAGGGAGAACCATCTTCCTTTTGGGAACAGGGTATACATTCAGGAGCGTGTTCAGGATCCCACAGCTGAGGCCCCAAAGGCTGCTCCTGGGATCCAGGAGGAAGTGTCTGCCCACCTATCTGTCTCACAGAGCTGTAGCAGAGCGGCAGTTTCCTGGCTGCCTTGCTTCCTCATAAACAACCGCAGAAGTCACAGGGCACCTTCACACTTCACTATCATGTAGCTTTTTTCATTGCAAGTTTGGAACTTTTTTCATTTGCTAGTGTGGAACCTATAGAACCTTTCCCACCTAATTATACCAGGTGCAGCAGCTGGCACAGGTGCAGGCTGTTTCCAATCCCTGCAGAAATAGTTTGTCCCTGGCCACACAGCACGCCCTGGACGGTCAGAATTCAAATGCAAAGGCTCATGGGCCACAGCCAGCGAGGTCCAAGGGCTCCTCCCTCCATCCCCAGCAGGGAAAGGCAGTCCTGGCCCCACTACCCCCACCCTATCCATCCAACAGCTTCCCCTGCCTTCTCAACAGGCAGCATGGTATCATTGAAGAGCACGCACTTTGGAATGGAGAGCTGGTTTACCTCTACCAGGAGTGCCTGAGTGGTGCAAATGACTAGTGTGCTTGCCTGCTAATCAAAAGGTTAGTGGTTCGAATCCACCCAGAGGTGCCTCAAAAGAATGGCCTAGCAATCTGGTTCCAAACAATCACCTGAGGAGCACGGTTCTGCTCTGACATATGTGGGGT